TTCTGCGATGGCAAAGCTGAATTTTCAGAATTTATTACTTCACTCTTCAGGGTCACATGATCCATGATCATTCTAATCTGCTGATTTGGTGCTCAAGAAACATTTCTTATTATTATCAATGTTGAAAACATTGCTGCTTAACATTTTTTGTGGAAACCATGATACTTTTCCCCCAGGATTCTTTACTGAATAGGAAGTTCGAAATAACAGCGATTAAACATGATTCTTGTAACATAATAAATTCTTTACGGTCAATTTTGTTTCATTAATGTGTCCTTGAAAGTATTAATAAAAAAATTGTAGTGTACGTCTTTATCCAAACAATGCAAGACCTGTTGGGAAACATTATTTTTGTCAGGACCACTATCGTCAAAGATGATTGACAATTAGCATACAGTTTGGATTGGCGTATGGTTCTGTTCTGGGCAAGAACTCCCTGCGCATCCATGCAGCCTAGCATGGATGAGAGCAGGGAGAGCAGCAATAACCCCCCAGGGTAAACAGAACAGAACCAACATAAACATATTGCAGATATGGTTAAAGTTCAATAATTTTATGTACACATTTTAAAATTAGTCTGATTCAAAGGAGAATCAGAAGGCTGAATCCCTACTGACAGAGGAGGAGTTGGGGATGGAGGAGGGTAATTAGCTATTGAGCAATGCGAAAACTGCTGATAATACTGAGGGACCTTATATATGAATGCTTAGATAGGTGTCGTATTCCCATAAATAGATGGGGATCAGCTGAGAGTCAGCTGATGAGAGCTTGACTAACGTGACCTGCCAGAACTAACGCTATGCTTGATATTTGCAATTCCACTTTGTAGCAGCGCAGAAAATTCTAATGATAAAAATAAATAAAAAAAATTCACTCATGAAAACAACACCAGTGGAAAACACCTTTAAGCAGCCTTAAACTTTCTCTGAGAATGTTTTTTATTTCACAATCGAATGGGGTCACGTCACTCTCCTGCCCACACCAGAGGTAACAATATTAGTGAGCACAGTAGGCATCTTATTTTGGGGAGACAGCGTGGTGCATCTGGGTGACGTGTGATCGAGTGTCTGCGCTCATGATAGACCTTGCGGGGCGCATCCCAAAGTAAATCAAAACTAGATTAGCATTCTGTGATACTGGCTCATTCCTCATTCATGGCCTTAATGTGATTTTACTGCCGCTCTATTTGTGGTCCAGCAGCCTGACAAATAACAGAATTAAGTTTCTTAACTTTACTTCTGTCACCAGGCAAAAGATCTTCAATGCAAAACTTTTTTAAGTGTCAAACTGCATCTAAAGCATGACAAGCAACACAAAGGCGAGTAGCCCTCTGAGCACAAGTGAGGGACAGAGAGTGAAAAACAGAGATAGAAAGAAAGAATGATGATGATGAAGACAGCAAGGAGGGATATAAGCAAAAGCAAGGGTTGCATACAGAGAGACTCTGAATGAATTATTCCCTGTGATGTCAAATCAATGAGTATAAATCTAGCCATCAAGACAAAACTGTCACAGTGGAGGAGAAGAATCATGAGTCCACAGGGAAAATCTGTATTACTCCCCATTCCACTTACTTCACACATCACATCTCAATTTCTAATAATTTTTTATAAATTGTTAAGGTTTTTAGGGGTTGAATTTATCAAACTCCAATCAAATTGAACTGTACAGAAAGAAGAAACAAAATAAGAGTTTAGAGTTAGCTAGAATAGTTAAACTTAAATAGTTTAAATGAACAAACTCTTCACTTTAGTTTTTACTATTTGGTTATAAAAAGTCCCCAAAACCATTAAAGGAAGATGAAGTTATTTACCTTATTTTTATTTATTTATTTTGATCACAGAGGCATATTATTGGTGGAGATGCACATGAACATATTCTCCTTAATCTACGTTCAAGCAGTCTTAAACAGCATATCAGAACATCTCTACTGAATTTACCACATTTCCATTCACATTCAGTATGAGCTGTAAAATTAAACCAAACAAGACTAGATAATAAGTTGAAACACAGAAGTTGTACTTGCTGTGAGGGACTGTAAGTCCAGGTGTGTACTGTAACAGTAATGAGGGCACATCTGCTTCACCAGGCTGATCAATCATACGCTGTCATGGGAAGGTGATGTTGCCCATCACGATTGCCATGTCCAGCCTACACCTTATACAAAAAAATCTTCTGGCCTCATTAGTGTGTGTGTGTGTGTGTGTGTATGTATGTGTGTGTGTGTGTGTGTAGGGAGGCAGAGTTTTAATGACTTCTCAATTAGTGAGAGGGCAGCTGATCTTTGTGTCTGACCTGAACAGAATGTCACACAGTGCAGAGAGGTTAGAAAGAGGACAAATCTGGCAAAACAAGACCCCATACTGGCAACCCCACATGCTCATCAAACCCATGGGCACAAACACACTCTGATCAACTATCAAACTCACACATACACAGTTTAACCATTCCAAATGCTCATCAAACTCAGGCATTTACATGTACACATTTGGCAGAGGCTTTAACGCAAAGCAATTTAAATTGCTTTGTATCAGTTCATGCATTAACACATTCACCTAGCTATTTAAATATGAAATGTTCTTAATTATTAGGTTATTAACCTAAAATCGTAAAATCTTTGGCTTGTCTAGAATTAAAAAAGTAATATGATTTTTTGTTTCTGAATCTATTAATTATATAAATAACAATAAACAATAAAACTGCAATTTATGCATACAATTGATTGAAGATACTTCTATATAAAATTCATTTTGATATTTTTGGGGGAGCTAAAAAAATGATGCCAAATCAGAGTCATATGGCGTGACTAACATGCTGAAAACAAATCATGAAACCGAGTACATACTGCACGATTTTCAAAGTCATCGGATCACGGGACAAAAACATTAAAACCCATTATAAACAAGGCATTTGTTGCATCCAGTGGGGACGTAATTACTGATAATGACTTATACTGTCTTTTTACGCATTGCGTTGCATCGCGCCGCGTAAACATAAAACCATGTCTGCATTTGTGATCGGAGAAATGACAAACAACAAGTGCTACCCTACACTGCTCAAAACTCGCGTTTGAATTGTCAGTGGCAAATTCTTTAAATATGAAAACGTACTTACAGTCTGAGTCAGAACAGCCGGCATTGTAGTCTACTCTCTCAGGATCTGGAAACAGTCCTCCATAAAATGTGATGCACTGAATATTTGGGTTGAACCGTACTGGAACAGTGTTGTAAATACAACAAAACCACTGATTTCTAGTCGTATCCTCTTTTGGAAGGCCAAACAAAGTAGTTTTGCTTTCACAACGAAACACACAGCGTCTTCACGACATGGCGGCAGCGGCAACAACAACACTACAGCATGAATAAAAGTTACGCCTTCTTTCTTTGAGTGAACATTTGGGCGGCGTTATGCAGATCTTCCCACAACGTGACGTAGATATGTGGGGGCGTGTTAGAAGTTTTAAGCCGTTTTAGGTAGAAGTGGTTGACTCTTAACTTTTATAAAGAATATCTCTTTGGATTTGAGACTTTAGTCTTTGCAATTTTACAGATCTTCTTTATGAACCAAGAGCTTGTAACACTCCAAAGAGAAAGGAAAAATTGAAATCGCATCATATGACCCCTTTAATGCTCCTTTGTGATTTCCAACACTGAGGTAAGAACTGAACAGCTCTGCTGTAAACCGTCAGATCCCTGCAGCATATTGCAGTGCAGATTTCACTTCCCCGCACTGAGAAATGACTCCACTCCACGGCTCTTATCAGCCCTGGCACGGCATAAACAATTAACAGGTGTTGTTACCACATCTGCTGCTCCTGGAGAATATTGTGAGACAGTCTGACATGGAAAATAAGTTACATTATAATTACTGGCTAGTCTAGTACTGCATCTGCTAAGCACCTCTAGAGAGAAGACTCACATTTTCATTCCTTTAAAACAATAAATGTTGATGATATGCATAGACATACTCTACTGTTCCAAAGTTTGGGGACAGTAAGATTTTTTATTTTTTATAAAATAATATTATTATTATTATTCAGCAAACACACATTAAATTAATCAAAAGTGACAGTAAAAACATTTATAATATTACAAAAGAGTTATTCAATTCAAATAAATGCAGTTCTTTCTTTTTTTTTTTTTTGCATGGTTTCCACAAAATATATTAAGCAGCATGACTGTTTTCAACATTGATAATGATAAGAAATGTTTTTTTTAGTAGCAAATTAGCATATCAGAAAGATTTCTGAAGGATCATGTGACACTGAAAAGTAATGACTGCTGAAAATTCAGCTTTGCATCACAGGAATAAATTACATTTTAAAATACAATAGAAATAAAATAGAAAACAGTAATTTTGAATTGTAAAAATATTTCACAACGGTTCTGTTTTCACAGTATTTTAAATAAATGCAGCCTTGATGAGCAAAAGAGACTTAAAAAAAACATTTAAAGTCTTATCACCCCAAACTTTTGAACAGTAGTGTATACACCTATACAAAATATGCATGATTATTGTAGGAAGAAAGTGTTTCTAAAATGCTGTAACAGAAATCAACCATTCATGTCTAAATGTATCCAATTATTCAGATTATTTGCTCTAATTTACAAATGTTGTCATAATCGACACTCTTAAAAATAAAGGTGCTTCCCGATGCCAAAGAAGAAACTTTTTTTGTCTAAATGGTTCCATAAAGAACCTTTAACATCTGAAGAACCTTTCTGTTTCACAAAAGGTTCTTTGAGGCAAAATAAGTTTCTTCAGATTATAAAAAGGTAAGAAAGAGATGGTTCTTTGTGGAGCCAAAAATGGTTCTTCTATGTGTAGCCGGGTAAGGCATAGCCCAGGTATGATTGGCATGCCAGCCTGTGAACCTATCAGTGTCCCTACTCCTTTGTGATTGGTTAACATGGTTTAAATCCTATGAACCTATCAAGTGTTGGCATTGATGATATAAAATGGGAAGGGTTTGATTACTTGGGATGCATCATCCTTGGTACTAGACCTTTGTGAAAGTATGTAATTATGAACAAGGGATGGAGCTTGGTGCATCTTCCTGTTTAGCAGTTAAGCCTTTTTCAGGTTAGTCTCCCAGTTATAAATAGGATTGCTTTGTTTATATAAGGAGAGGCTTTATTTGTTGTCATCTTTTGGTCATCAGCATGCTAGTGGCCGTGGTGTTGCGTGGTGAGCTACCATGCATTTTGCTACATGGTAAATCTCTCTCGGTATGTATGATGGGAGCTTGTCATGTGTTTTAATGAGTGTAATATTGTAGATAATCTCTGTTTTATGTTCAGCAGGTCTAACTGCACATCCAGGGGTTTCCAGTAACTTGGTTGGAGACGAATGTACATCAGTGATGTGACTGCACTGCTGCTTTGTTTGTAGTGTTTGTTGGTTGATTGTTTTAACTTTGTCTGTGTTGGTCTTATTTTGGTTAACTTGGTTTGTATGGGTGCTCTTTTATTCATTCATGAGCAGCCATTCATTAACTTGTGTGAGTTAGCAGGGAGACAAGCAAGATATTTGGCCTTGGTCGGCCATTTTGTTCCTCCTGTTGGTGCAGACACCTGCGCCTTTTATTTGTTTTTTGTTTTCTTTGTACAAGTAGTTGTTGAATCTGTGTTTGTGCACTCCTTTTTGGAGTAGATTGTTCTGTTGTGGTATGAAAGTGAGTTTTGTATTTTTGAATGTGTCTTGACGTTTGTACCAGTTAACCATGTTGTCATTTAGGAGTAGAAACTTTTTAAAGTGGGGGTTGCAGTCTTTTAGCGTGGCCACATGGAGTGCGGTGCTTAACCAATTGTATTGCTTTCACAATGGTATGGTGTGAGGTGAAAATTCAAAAGGCCCCCGCTGGCCATTTCTCTCCTACTGGTCATTTCTGTAACTGGTAGATTTGTGTATCTGATTGATTAAGATTGTGCCCAAAACCAGTGTGTCAAATTAATGTTTCATTTGTGTATAAATGGCTTAATTTTTACACTTTGTCTAGGTCTCCATGCTCACCCTGCCTTTGGCAACGAACCTGTGTAGTCTATTTGTATCTGTTGTTGGTAACTTCCCCTACCTGACCACTTATTGCCACATATGGCATCGCTGTGAAGAACCTTTATTTTTAAGAGTGTAACCACCATCATGTCACTAGAAAACTATATAATTTTTTTTCCTGTTGATGAATGCTGAAGTTCAAGTTAAACGGCTGTCAAGATTAGATTAGAAATGAGAAAAACTGTTAGGTTGGGATTTGAATTGTGGATCCCCTTTCACACTAAACAAAAGTTTTACCATTAGACTCTCCTGCCTGTCCGCCCTTTTTATTATTTGGTCATCTCCAGAGGCGGACAGTAACGAAGTACATTTACTTTATTTTTTCTGGGAACTTATGACTTTAACTTCACTACATTTGAAAGACAAATATTGTACTTTTCACTCCACTACATTTCTATCAAGGTCCTCGAAGTAGAAAGTCATTACTATGTAGCAGCTTTGAAAGTCAGTAGGTGATATTTTTATTTTATTTTTTTAAAATGTGACTTTCCAGACAGTTTCAGTAATCACTCCTGGGGCTACAGCATTTTTTGAACACTGACCAGTTGCAAATTAGATTTATTTACAATTCAATAATAAGTTAATATTGTGGTATATATTAGACACAATATTGTCTGATTTTGCTTAATTGTGTATGGGAAAAATATTACCTATAAAACTACAGAAGAACTGTTGTGCATCTCCTAATAAAACACAAAAGGTGTTTGACTGAAGCAGCACTGCACAGACTGTTCTGTGTGTGACATCCAAGTACCACAAGAGCGATTAGACAGCATTTAAAATGTTGGTTTTGATGTCAAATAAGTCTTGCTGTTTTGCTTTTTTGTTAAAGCAGTGTTGCTGTTGTAACATTATACAGCTACAGTTGTGTTGCTGGGTTTTAAAGCAGGTTTGATTTACTTACTCTATTTACAGGATTTCACTGTCCACTCTGTTCAAATGTGGATGAATGGCTAGATGGAGATGTCAGAGCTATGCAAGATCACTACCATCCTGATTTTGTGGGGGTGGGTAGGGGTGTTAATTATTATTTTTCCCCCCATAGGTTTTTAACATTCTAAAAGCTCTTTATTCCAAATATACCACAAGTTAGTCAGTGTATTCAGCAGGTGTAATGTATTCTAAGTTGCTTCAGAAGTATTGCAAGTATTACGTACAATAAAACAGTGCATTGACAAAGGAAATTTACTTTTGGTACTTAAGTACTTTTGAAAGCAATTACTTCTGTACTTTTACGCAAGTAAAAATCTGTCTTTACAACTTTTACTTGTAATGGAGTAATATTTGACCAGCAGTATCTGTACTTTCACTCAAGTAATGGAGTGGAGTACTTTGTCTGCCTCTGGTCATCTCTTATTATTCCTAGGGAACCAAGGGTGTCTCTGACAAACAACCGAATTATTTAGATTTATGAGCCAATTTTATGAGGGCTTACCTAGAACATAGATCTTGTTACCGTGCAGGAAGGAGAAGGCTCCGTAGCGTGGGGTGGGCATGGAGGTGAGGGGCAACCACTGGTCCTTTGTTGGCTCATACAGCCTCACTGAGGCCTGAGGGGTCGTGTCAGCTCCCATCCCGCCCAGCGCATACACCTTGCCATCTGAGAGGTCAGACAAAAAAAAAAAAGTCTGAAATTAGTTTAAACTCCATTTCCAAGTCTCCCACATCCCTTATTACAGTTTTTCTCAATTGCTTAAACACTTGTCCACTCAGACATCACATTTTCAAAATTCACTCAAGTAATGGAGTGGAGTACTTTGTCTGCCTCTGGTCATCTCTTATTATTCCTAGGGAACCAAGGGTGTCTCTGACAAACAACCGAATTATTTAGATTTATGAGCCAATTTTATGAGGGCTTACCTAGAACATAGATCTTGTTACCGTGCAGGAAGGAGAAGGCTCCGTAGCGTGGGGTGGGCATGGAGGTGAGGGGCAACCACTGGTCCTTTGTTGGCTCATACAGCCTCACTGAGGCCTGAGGGGTCGTGTCAGCTCCCATCCCGCCCAGCGCATACACCTTGCCATCTGAGAGGTCAGACAAAAAAAAAAAGTGTCTGAAATTAGTTTAAACTCCATTTCCAAGTCTCCCACATCCCTTATTACAGTTTTTCTCAATTGCTTAAACACTTGTCCACTCAGACATCACATTTTCAAAACGGTTAACAGGCTGAAACTGAAGCTCAATGGCCAAAATTACTCATTTTGTTTGCAAAATGCTCCAACACTCACAAAAACATTAAAAACATGCAACAAGCAAATACTTCCATCAAACACCACAGCTTGTGATCACATTAATTTATTCTTTCAATCAATCATTACACAATGGACAACAAATTACAAAACACAGCTATCAATATGAAATTACACTGTTCAAACTCAGAAGTGTTGAATATAGTTTAAAAAAAAAACAAAAACAAAAGGAAACTTATGGATGGTAATATCTAAAAAACAAAATTAAGAGTTGAAATACTCAGAACTTCAAATTGGATGTTTTCCCTTGGAAATACCTCCTTGCATGGAAAATCCATCAACAGCCCTCTCTCTTTAGGTGAAACCAGTCTTTCATTTAGTGCATCAAGAAATGTGATGAGGCATTCTGTATTGAACTGATAGTTTGTATGTGGCAAAGGACATCATTGGAGATGGCAGCACACATGGTGATATTGGCACCCCTCTGATCTGGCACTGCAACAGTGACCCTCTGCCCAATAAATGTTCCTCCCGCATCTCCTCACTTTACAGAGGCTGAAGCTTTGGCCTCTTTGATCCATACTTGCAAATAGCAGGACAGAGGTGGAATCTTTTATAAAGGGATGAGGACTGATTGCTGATTTCACACAGGTGCACTAGAAATTCATAATTATGCAAGTACTTTCTATCAGCTGTGAATAAATGTTTTTCTTTTGTTCAACACAGTGAATCCAATAGAGTTTGGTGTCTTTCAATGAGATCAGTAGTGACTGTTTTGACAAAGGGTGTGAAAAATGTGTGAAACAAATGAAAAAGTGTTAAGGCATTTGCAAGATAAGCTAAGAATGTGATGATGAAGATCAAGCGGATCCCAGTTTCATTAAGCGTGTCTTAGCAAATGAGAAAAACGGTAAACAAATTAATAACAAACAAATCAGGAAATGGCAGAGCAGTGGCAGTGAGTCACTAGTCTGAATTAGGAATGTTCTCTCCGTGCCAGAGTGGAGAATCTCTAGAGACATGCACCTTTTTTTCTGGGCTCCAGCTATTTTAAGGTTTACTTAAATTCCACCTCTAAACATCACACTCCACATTTGTTCTCTTCCCCTACGGGGACTGAACATTAAATATGAATGTGTTCCCATAACTGACCCAAACTTTTGAACTTTCCGACAAACTTCTCTATTATAGCTCTACCTGAAATATATACACTACTATACTTTTTTCTCAATTGCTAAAACACATTTAATCCCTGTGAAAAACCAGCTTATTCTAGCATGAATGCACACGCTCGTTCAGGCTGGTTAGTGCGACTTTGCTGCTGGTAAAGTTGGTGGATATGTTTAATCATGCTATTTACTTTGCTAGCTGAGCAAAGGTCGAGCAAAGAACTCCTGCTGGTTAAGCTAGAAGCCAGATGTAGACAACAGCATCCAAAACACAACATATGCTGAGCTATAACAAATATAGCATGAAATAAACTTAAATTTTACAAACCTCAAACTTTACACAAAAACCAAACCTCATCATATACCTATAAAGAGCCAAACTGACATTTTAGAAGAAGGCATGTTGGCACTCAAAAGTGAAAGGCAGAGACTTCATTTAATACTCTTCCTCTAATGTGAACGCTTTCTGTATTGTTTGCATCTAAAGCCCAGAACTCTGTAGCTATTTTTGCAAACCCCATTCTGGCTGCTGTGTGAAGTAGTTTGCATACTAATGTTCACATAATGAGAATTGTGTGTCAACTGAGGTTGTGATGACATTGTGATGGTTTCTGAATTCTAGTGCTTTTAACATGAGCCCAAAATGGTTGTAAAATGATTTATTTGTATTTAGAGTTTTCAGAAAAAAATGCAACTTTTGTTTATATGTTTGAGGAATTAGTCTTTGTTTGTAAAAGTGAAACTGATGGTTCATAAGATCATGAGTTTTGAAAGTGCTTTGTTCCAAAAATAGTTCCAAAATAGTAAAATAATAATAATTCATATAAAAAATAATATTTATTAAAATAGAAACAGAATCCCAGAAATGTCATTTTGATTTAATATACATAATTTTGTCAAATAATAATCATGGATTTTAGTGTGAAAACAACTGAGAAAAACTGTAACTAATCCAATTTATAGAATATATGTGTCTATAATTAAACAGAGGACCAGACAGATTATATTACATTCCACTCTGATATAACTATGCATTTAAAACACAGCTTTTAGGCTCAGTTTAGACTTAACTCTAATCCAAAAATGACCTTCATAAAGTTTTCAAGGGAAAATGCAGCACAGTGGTGAAATTAGGATATGAATGTGGAGAGAAATGCAGCATCAGCAAAGAGAACAGCCCTGCTGCAGCACAGCCAACTGCTAATGGAAAGAGAGAGAGACAGAGAGAGAGAGAGAGTTGTATGTACAGTTGTGGAAGAGAAAAGCATCCTGATATTGATGCTAGTCATAATTTTACTGAACTGTCAATGGGACAAACAGCATGTGAGAAAGAGCATGGGAGTACTAACTGATGTGCACATACGGTTTATTACGCCACTGAAACACCCGAATCAAGACATCAGGATCATCCCTGGAGGAAACAGCATTAATGATCACCATATGGAGCGTTTAAGACTGTGAGAGAGGATGTATGTTAGTTAAAGACAGTTTCGGTATTATGTCTGTATAATACTCTCCTGGCTTGACTGCAGCAGCTGCTGACTCAGATATCTGCAGTACTCTGGGACAGCAACCTGTGACTATAGTTAACTGCAGAACAAACGGGACAGATAGAGAGAGATACCGGGGAGTAAACTAGGTGGCAGCAGAGAGTACTGGTCATGCCCTCCAAAATAAATTAATAAAACAAATAAATAAAAAACTGTAACTACTGTAACAGCAATATATTATATATATTATTTGCAAAAACAGTTTGTGTAGTCATAATATAGCACTGATTTCTGAATGGATATTAATAAAGTGGTGTCCACATGATGTAGTTACACCATTTACCAGCAGGGGGTAACTAGACCATGCTAACTAGCCATACCTTGACCTTTTGAAGAAGATATTTCAGTGTTGGAAAATCATAACTATGATGTGACGTGCACTCAAGTCTTTTCTGACACAATCCTTAATTATTTCTCTTTTTTTCTCTACCTGATAATGACAAAGCCATTTTAGTGCTACTGTATAAAAAATGAAGAGCAATGAATGTGCATTAGGTGTGTAATTGGTTGTCACAGAAAATGAAGGGGAAAGCAGCTTGGTCATACAGCCTTGTCTCCTCATAAACAGGCTAAATGAATAGAATTTTCTAACGAGTGTCATCACTATTCTTCATCAACACTACAGAAAATGCATACAAATTAATTTGACCATCACAGTTATTACTCAGGATTAATACTAATTTGCTTCCACCGCAATTCTTTAATCAGTAATGTTACTGTTAACTAAAATTATTAAAAGTATTTTTTTGGCAATTGAATTGAAGCTAAATTAAATTATAACATGAAAAACGTATAAATGAGAAAAATAAGAAATCTTGCTTTGGCAATTAACTGAAATGAGATTAAGTTGAGGTACTAAAAGTACTATAAATAATAAATTAAAAAAGTAAATGAAAGCTATATAGAATTATTAAAAACAATGACACAGAAAGACACTATTAAAAATGGCAAAAGAACATCAAATTACTAAAGCTTAAACTAAGGTGACAGAAAATAAAAATAAAAAAAAATATAAAAATAAAAGCTCTCATTATGGTGTCCAGGTGTGCTCATATGTAGGCCTATATGATTATTTTGGCATGATTTGAATGCAGCTTATTTATGTTTTTGCGCTCCTACAGAGTATTATGGTAAATGCAGTTTCCCATGTACACTCATACCTCATAAACTTCCTAAAATATTTTCCTTATTAGAAAGAAATTTGTTTAGCAATTAGATACTGTAAAATACATAGTTTTCAATGTTTTGCTCAGATATTGTTGTTTAATATACATAATTTTGTCAAATAATAATCATGGATTTTAGTGTGAAAACAACTGAGAAAAACTGTAACTAATCCAATTTATAGAATATATGTGTCTATAATTAAACAGAGGACCAGACAGATTATATTACATTCCACTCTGATATAACTATGCATTTAAAACACAGCTTTTAGGCTCAGTTTAGACTTAACTCTAATCCAAAAATGACCTTCATAAAGTTTTCAAGGGAAAATGCAGCACAGTGGTGAAATTAGGATATGAATGTGGAGAGAAATGCAGCATCAGCAAAGAGAACAGCCCTGCTGCAGCACAGCCAACTGCTAATGGAAAGAGAGAGAGACAGAGAGAGAGAGAGAGTTGTATGTACAGTTGTGGAAGAGAAAAGCATCCTGATATTGATGCTAGTCATAATTTTACTGAACTGTCAATGGGACAAACAGCATGTGAGAAAGAGCATGGGAGTACTAACTGATGTGCACATACGGTTTATTACGCCACTGAAACACCCGAATCAAGACATCAGGATCATCCCTGGAGGAAACAGCATTAATGATCACCATATGGAGCGTTTAAGACTGTGAGAGAGGATGTATGTTAGTTAAAGACAGTTTCGGTATTATGTCTGTATAATACTCTCCTGGCTTGACTGCAGCAGCTGCTGACTCAGATATCTGCAGTACTCTGGGACAGCAACCTGTGACTATAGTTAACTGCAGAACAAACGGGACAGATAGAGAGAGATACCGGGGAGTAAACTAAGTGGCAGCAGAGAGTACTGGTCATGCCCTCCAAAATAAATTAATAAAACAAATAAATAAAAAACTGTAACTACTGTAACAGCAATATATTAT